AGCAGCAGCAGCAGCAGTGGCAGTGCTCGTGCTAGTGCTAGTGGTGGTAGCAGTAGTAGGAGGAGGAACAGTAGTAGTAGGAGCAGCGTCAGCAGCGGCAGCAGGAGTAGTAGTCGTAGGGGGACTAGGAGTCCGGTAGTTATGCAGCATCAGATGCAGTGTATCATCGGGTACGGCTGCGGGGTATCAGTTCGCAGTTGACTGAGTTCGTCAATAGAATATCTGGGCGGGCTTCTGGTGCATTGTTCGTTTCCGGGTTTCTGGCTATGTCTGCCGTGACTTATCGTCGGGATGCTGTGGCGATTGGGGTTAAGCGGGTGAAGATGTCACAATCCTGAACTCGCCCCAGCTTAGGAAGTCTTTGGCTTAGGACAATGATCACTCATGACAATCTGAGTGGACTGTTTCCTGATTCGCCTCTTTCTTTCCCGACTCACGCCTACGTATTTCCTGCTTCTCGCCATGCTCATTACTGACTTCTCCCGGCTATGTTCCCGACTTGCGCCGTCTTGGTTCCGACTTTCCATCACCCAAGTTGGATGTGCGGGCAATTGTGTTCTTCCAGCTGCTGGTCATGTTGCCTTTACTGTCTATGATGTGTTAGCTTACTTGCTATGTATGTGATTGTCCAGCTGCAGGGTCGCCGCAATCTGGCCATGTAAGTTACGGCAGGTTCATGGCACGGATGTTTGTTTGCAGCGTGTGCGCTCGGCAGGTTCCAGGTGCAGGCAGACTTATCGATGGATGTTGACGTTCAAGCTTACATCTCTTTCACACTGTTCGGACTTCTTCCTTGAATACGTCACTCACACGGCATCTTCGCACACCATGCTCGCACCTGGAGGCTCCAGTGGAGGTGATGGCCAAGACTGCCCAGCTGGCGGCTGTGGCCAAGCAGCACAAGCCATCCTCTTCATCACGCTGGCCAGATAGCACTGTGTTGGGATAGCGCTTGGCCCCAAGCTTGGGAGAATTGGAAGTCGAGGTGCCCCTCCAATAGATTCCAAGTTCGAGGCAAGCCCTTGCGACTCCGTGTGATGCATGGGTTCTGTCTGACTCCTGGAGCAGGCAAGCTTTGGCGCCGTGGGAGTGGATTGCGCCAAAGATAACAAGGCCTTGCCAGCACAAAGTGTCGACACTACACAAGTCACACAAGTCAACAGTCAACAGTGAACAAGGGATGCCATGCTTAAAGATTGGACCTCAAGAAGGGTTTGGTTTCGGTGTGCAGATTGTCTCGTTGTTCGCAGTGTCATCCGTTCACGTCTCGAGTCACAGTCATACTTAAGGGTCTTTTCCCATAGTCTCTGCCACTGTCGTGGTTTTAGTTGCAGTCACTGTAGTCCCATGACCTGCTGGACCTGAGCCCCCTACTCTTCGTCAAGAGAGTGTGTTCGCAAAAATTATGCTTATTCACATGTATCTTTGTAGAAAACTAACGTAAACCCACATATGTGTCGATGTAGAGATGCATTTTAATTCAATCCGCTCGCAGAGTTGCGATTTGGATCTTGCAACCACTGTTTCTTGGATTGGTTTGTTCGTTTGTTCTTTGCAGCTACTGTTTTGCGATTCTTTCCGAGTTTCTTCATGTGAGTGTTTCCGCTGTTTATGCAGTGTTCACTTCTTGAACACTTTGGCTTCCTGTGGGAGCAGGTTTCTTATCATTTGCATTTCGCTTCTTCAAAACCCTGTAGTTTCCTGAGCGGTCACGGATGTTTTGCTTCCTTCTCCATTTTTGCACCCTCGCGGCCCCGCCGTGTCGTGTGAATTCTTCTTGCTGCTATTGTTGTTCTTTGCCTCAGTCTTCACGGCTTGGAGAAGGGGCTAAAGCCTCGTCCTCCATTCTGCCAATTCTTGCGAATCGCGATTCGCCAGGGGTGCGACTGGTGGGACACAAGCGCTGTTGATGGATATTCGTAGCTCGTCTGTGGGTGTGCCTGCAGGTTCTTGTGAGATACCGTTCGTTCGGATGTATCGAAGCGATGCCCAGCAAAGGTTGCCGTTCAAGCTGGAAGTCGACAGTCAGTGTCCGCAGGCCTTCCTACTGCATCTCTAATCTCGTGTTGTTGCACGGCTCGTGGAAGATCCAGCAGTTCCAAGGCCAAGAAGATTGACTGCTTGGGTCTATCTTTTGCAGAATGTCCAGCGGCTGAAGGGCTGGGAAGTGTCGGTGACCAGGACCGATGGCGAATAGACTTCTGAAAACGGCGAAAAAGGGCTAGTCCAACGTGGCCGTGCACAGGACCTTCGCGTCGTGGACCACGTGTCTTCCAAGGCCGAGCTTCAAGTTACGGCCTTGACGAGGGAGCTTGTTTCTGGAACCTGTCAGGTTGTAGGATGCTATTCGCCCTGTGGCAAACTTACATACTCGCCCGCTCGCTGCAAGAAGTTTGTACGGTCGTCAATGTTTGAAGCGGATTGCGAATCCACACGGTTCGTGTGGTGAGCATAGATGTCAGCATCAACTGCCGGCTTGTTCGGGAACAGCGTTTGTGGGAATCGCCAAGGAACTGGGGCAACAAAGTTGGTCAGCATGCGCCCGATAGCATCTTGGCTTAGTCGGCGTCGGCACTGAGGCAATTGCAGTTGTTCCGCGCATAGCAGTGTTTCGAGGTGACGTTGCGAAAATGTACTGCTGTCCAACACCACCTGTGAGCCCGCAACAGTGCAGGAGTCGCGCATGCAGCACCATCTCCTGTGCCAACTGTCTTCATCCAATCGCTTGCTGTGCAGGGCAGGTCCTGTGGAGAAGAGTGCCTTTGTCAAGTTGATCCACCAGAAGTGTCGAGATCTCAGTGGATGGATCAACACTCTTCCTCTCAGTATTGCGCTGATCCTGCTTGAGGCAAAAATGTTTATGGCTACGCATATGATGATGCCGCAGCTTGGCACCTTATGAGTTTGGAGAATGCGCTCATCGAAAGCTCTTGCATTCCTGTCCTCCATTGTCTCCCGAAAGCGTGCTAGGTGTTTGTCCATGGGAGTGGTTACTGTAGGACGGATTGTGGATGGATTGATATTCGGTTGGATGGCATAATGTGAGGCATCTGCACGGTTTTAGGGAATTCTACGATCGATAGAGTAATGCTTGGAAAAATAGTATAAAGGTTTTCGGTTAAATCTGACAAGTTGTACAGCTCGGGGCACAGCTAGCGGCTAGCGGGAATCGCTGTACTCTTCGTGCTCTAGGCGTGGTTGGGCACACGCAATCGCGCTCGGCGTGTGGTGCCGCGACGATCCGTGCTTGGAGTCGACAACCATCTCGGTGGACATGGGTGTCTGCGTCCTGCGGAAAGCGCGATTCACTGCGTATTAGAACATGGTATCAAAGTAATATCTTCCACTCGGTGATGCCGGCGTGTTCGGGCGCCGCGTTTGTGATGCGGCATTCGTTTATCCTCGAATTGTCTGAAATGTCTAAATCTCACCAGTACCTGGGGCAATCAAAGTGGCCGTGGTGTCCTGCTGGCGTGCCAGTGGTCTCGTGGTGGTTTCCTTTTGGTCTTTGGGTGGTCTGGTGAGATCTTCTGGTGGTCTCTGCGTCGCCTCCTAGTGGACGTGGTCGTCCTCGTCGTCCTTGTACTCCTCGTTGTCGTGGTCGTCCTGGTAGCTTTGGTGGTCCGAAGTCCTAGTGAGTGGTTTATGGTCGTCGTCGTCGTGGTGCACTATCCGTGGTCCTGGTTGTCGTGGTCTTGGTCGCCTTGGTCGCCTTGGTCGTTTTGGTCGTCGTGTTCGTGGTCGTCGTGGTCGTCACGGTTTTCATGCGGCGCTCGGTCATTGTTTGGAGATGTACGCTGGCATTATGTTAATAAGTGTTTCCAGAGGTTTTACAGAAAGGTTGAAAGAAGGGCTTATGAAGGTGTTGAGTGAATGGTTGGACGGATGGACGGATGGATGGACGGACGGACGGACGGACGCATGGATGGATCCATGCAGATGGAGGATGAATCGATGAGATGATGTTAGCTGTTGCGGTGCTGACTACCTCGCTGATCCAAGCGCTTTCGTGGCACTCGTTCTCTAGTTTTTTTAATGCGTAGCAAAGATGAGACAAATGACAGCAAACCTATGCTCTGATGCAGGTGGGTCTGCAGGTCTGTCCGGCAGGGACCACGTACACCTGGACTTTGGGCTGTCCGACCGCGACGGAGGCCAAAGACAGTGGAATTCAGAAAAAAGGGGACTCGGCAAAGTTAGGCACAGCGACACCGGCCGTGGAATGGAGCATTAACTTTGCTAGAACGCAGGTCGTGCTTGGCTAGGGCGATGCCGCCATGCTGTCGCTGGTGGCGATCCGGGTCATGATGCCGCAGTTGGTGGCATCTGGACCCCCCTCCTTTGGCTAATTGATGCTATATGCAAACGCCTGAGCATCGCAACCGCGCTGACGGCATCCTTGTGGTAAAAATGCGCATGTTGCAAAAGCGCACCATGTTCCGGCATTCTTCCAACCTCGCCCAGTTTCAGTGCGCATTGAGGTTTCTTCGTGCATGATGTCGTTTGCATGAACGTTTCCCATGACATACCATCGCAGCATTCCTCTTCAGCCACTCCGGTAGCTCAGGCAGAGGCAGGTGCTGCAGGCTGGGTTTCGCCATGTTTCGCCCATCGCCAATTTTATTGTGGTTTCAGCCGCGGTTGCGCGGCCCTGCCAGTAGACAGGTGAGCAGGTGCGAGGATCAGTTTTTGATTTGATTGCAAGTGCAGCAGGCATAGTTGCAGAAGCTCTGACACAGTTCACTGGTGTTACCTAGTATCGCACATAATTCAGGGTCTCTCATGGCTTGCTATCGTGCCAGCACCTTTGAGACCCACTGAATGGATGCGACAGCAGCAAAATCAATCAGCGGAGATTGTGCTCTCCCTTGCAGTGCACCTTTCGTTGTCCGTGGTATCCCCCGTTGCCACATGGTGTATCGATCAAGCCCGCCGAAGCAGGCCATTGTGGCTCAGAAGTTGCAGACTTGCTAGGCCTGTTTTGGATGAGTTCTGTTGCGATGGCGCAGGGGGCAGAAGCGCACCATTTCTGGAACCCGGCATCAGCATCAGCGTCTGGCGGCAAGTCTCTGGCCTTTAAATCTGCTGTAGTGTTGACATCTACATTTACAGCCGCTGCGGTCGTGTCATTGATTGTTGAGCCACTCTACGGTGAGCAATTGGTAGACTCTTGGCTGCTGTCAGGATAAAGTAACCCTGCTCGCTGTTGCGTGAAACGGGAGAACATAGCACTCAAGACTCAAGAGAAGCGCATGCTAACACCAACTTTCAAATGTCCCTTTCATGCTGTGTCAACAGAGCCTTGCGGTGAAACTCCTGCTGTTAGGAGCAGTTCGTGAAAGACACGCACGCCGCAGGGAGCAGCATTCCCAAAGTTCCTAACGTCCTGTTCCCGGAAGATTGGAGATACAGAACGCATCGCTGGCCACAGCTTCTTTTCATGACGCAGCAAGAGACAGAATTCGCCCGGCGGATGACGATGTCCTTGGTGATCGGCGCACTGCTTGGTATCGAAAGACGAGAGTCCAACAGAGGAGCTGGCGTGCGCACTATGAGCTTAGTGTCGCTCGGGGCATGCATTTTCACTATTGGTTCTATTTATGCCTTCGAAGAAGGAACGCAAACATGGGATTCATCTCGAGTTGCTGCTGCGCTACCTTCAGGTGTGGGGTTCTTGGGGGGAGCATTGATCTTCAAAGACTCTGGTCAAATTAAGGGGCTCACAACCGCCTGCGGTGTGTGGCTGGCGTGTGCCGTGGGCATGTGCTGTGGCGGTGGGCTGTACTTCGTTTCCTTTTTTGGTGTGGCTGGTGTTGTGGCAATGCTTCGTTTCGGGCCTCGATCGCCAATGCCGGAGGATGAACCAGAAGTACCGGAAGTAGAGCCAAAAGCACCCGGACTTGTCGAGGGGCTTGACCACCCTCTCATCCGCAAGAGGTCACTCACGTCGGGTCCGAAAACGTTAATTGTTGGTGATGAGTAGATGAGTAGAAATGCTTTCGATCCCGCTGCTTCTTGCGCAGCCTAGATGTCGTGTCTCTCTCGCAACAGCAAGCTTGCACGTTTATGAAGCGGCAGGGTCCGCTAAGCAATTGGTCTGTATATAGTCTGCACGGCTCCTCGAAATCTTGGAGTTTCCAGTCTAGTGTCGCGAGGCACCAGTTGACGCCAGCGCTCGAGAAGCGCTGCTCGAGTCTGGCAGCATGTGAGCAGAGTCGCACTGCCTGGCAGATATTTCGTGATGGTTGCATGCATGCATTCTAGATAGATACAATATATACATTTCTATATATATATATATATATGTAGTGCAAGTGGGAGCCAAAAAATGTATATGTTTATATATATATATATATATGTATATGTATATGTATATGTATATATATATATATATATATACGTATATGTATAATTATATATATATATACACATATGTATAGACCTGTGTATATATATATACACATACACACACACACATAAATATATATATATATATATATATATATATACACACATACAGGTACACATACAGAGGTCCGCCTCATGACAGACTTGGGGAGGACCAGAGCGATGTAATCGAAGTGCCTTCTCGATTGACAGCTTTGCGGAGCTTCGGCTTGAGTCTTCGAAGGGCACCTGTAGAACGCCAGGAAGCCTAGAAGGATGCCATGGCAGAAAAAGCAGTTTGGGAAGTCATCGGTGGCAAAGACAAGGGCGGTCTAGTGGTACGTGAGGATCAGAGCCTGAAGAGCAAGGAGCTACCAGAGCGTTTGTCTTTTGCTTCTCTCGTGGAACAGGTTGAACTGGTGGGAAAGCGCTTGCACTACAAGCTCTTGACGGGATCCGGCCCCGACACCGGCTGGGTCAGCATCAACCTTGCAGACAAGGACTTGCTGAGCTGTATCCTCAAACCACCTCCCAGGCCTCCACTATTTTGTGCCTGGTACTCGGGAGGCTTTTCCGTCAAGGACGGGGAGAAGCAGTTGGAAAAGCTAATGGAGGCAGTGCGTGCCTCTGGAGTGGCAGACGCCGCCGTCTTCCACTTTCCAGATGGATATGGCCTGGAAGGTGAAGGACGAAAGCCTTGGGCGAAGTACATTGATCGGGTGATTGACGAGATCAATGAACTTGCACAAGATGAGGAGCAGCCTCTGATACTGTTCGGGCATAGCAGGGGGGCTTCTCCAGCTGCATGCGTCGCAACCCGCTTGGGCTCTAGAGTCAAGCACGTTTACATCGCAGCATGTGGTGCTATGCGGGAGGGGCAGCCCACAGCCTGGGAGAATCTCAGCCTCTCCTTCAAAGGCGCTGGAGATCGGGAGCTGTTGACTTGGTTCAGCAGCCTTCAGCCGGAGAATGTTGTTCTCAGGAGAGTAGCAGTAGAAACCAGCGACGAGGAGTTTGTCGAGCAGGTGAAGGGTAGCAAGTTCTTATCTCAGATGCTCTCCCTGATGCGGCACCAGTATCGTGATGCCATGTACCCAGATCCAGAAAAGGATTTCAAAGCATTTCCTGCAAACATCACAGCATTTGCCCCGCTCTTGGATGAGGGCAGCCAGCCAGAGCATATGCAGGACTGGAGTGCGCTGACTTTGGGCAAGTTTCAGAATGTCAGCCTCAATGCCGGTCACATGGATTGCATAGCGCCAGATGCTAAAGGCAAGTGTGAGCTGTTTGATTTCTTACGCAAGGATCTGAAGCAGTACATCAAGTAGCTTCAAGGTAGAGCTGAGGCTGTATGACTTGATTGCACAGTGCAGCGCGAAAAAACGGGAGGTGTTCCGTAGTTGGCGGGTGCAGCTGCTTCTGGTTAGCCGAGCCATGAGCCATGAGCAGTTGTTTGCGAGTTGAGGCTGCAATGCCGTGGCCATGTAGACATGTAGAGTCAAAAACGTCATGCATGAAGCCGCTACTCTGCAACCAAAGAATCGTCACTGACAATGAACGTCGCATTCCTGAACGACAGTTCTTAGCTGCAAAGGGACAGATAGGTACAGAGCGACAACAGCAAACCATGCAAGCTTCTCACGGCAACGGCTGTTGATACGACTGCATGGCATGCGGGTGTGGATGCCTTGTGGAAATCCCGCCCCGCACATGTGGCCGGTGCGCCGTTCGTCTTGTTGGCAAAGATCTCTGAGTCAGTGTCCTGAAAACAACGAAATGATCAACCCGTGTGGCAGGTGCTATGGGAAGCATGTTTGCATGCTGCAAGGTGCTGCGCCTTACCTCTCTCCACGCGTGCCAGACATGTCAGAGCATGTTAGAGCTTGATTTCTGGAAAGGAGGAAAAGATGGAGATCCGTAAAGCCGACGCACCGCAGGCAGGACAATTTAGTCTGAAAGATGGGTTCTGGTACGTGGCATTCATTGAAGACAGTCTTTCACGATCATGGGTTGCGTTGGCTTTCAACATCTCCTCTCGGCGTGCTCTCCCAACGAGTTCCGGCCGTGCCGAACTTCCTGTTCGAGAGCCTCTGAAGGCTTGCGTATCGAACAAAACGATGCTTGCACGGAGAACCGACATTTCATGATTATGAGGTTCTAGTGACGAGTGGCTTCGTCCTGTGTCCGACAGCCTGTGGAAGTCGACGAAATTTGCACGGCATCGCAGTGAACGGTGGGAAAACCTGTCGGACGGAGCTGTCTCGACATCGGCGCCCCAAGTCCAGGGGCGATCAAGGCCAGAAAGCATTGGTGATGCTGAAGCCCACTGCGAGTTTATCTTCGCGAGTTTATGTTTTGATCACAAGCGACTCTTGTTCGTGTCCTGGACAGGCACGTGCCAAGCTGTCCGTCAAAGCCGGAGGTTTCTCTATCGGAGCCTTTGCGGCCTCGAACAGAGGAAAGCTGGAGGAGTTCTACGAAGTTGAGAAGGAGGTAGCCAGGCAGTCAATTCAGGTTTTCTAAGAGACTGACATGTTAAGTGCAACACCGTGCTGCTTGGATTCAGCGGTTCAGTTTGGCCTAGTGCCGACATGCCAAACGAAATGGGCTCAACTGCGGCCGTGAAAAGCCTCTGGAAGAATGGAACTCGTCAAAGGATTATAAAGTCAGATATTTCAAGCTGCGCTAAAGATCCTGGCCCAATAGACAGGTATGTAAACGCACGGCCCACATCTTCACAAGAAATTATTTTGGAAACTACATGAGTTGACGTATTGGTGACCGCTGGTGGAGAATGCAAAGATGCTCATCGAAGCAAGCCCTGTACTGGTGTGGAGAGCATAAGGCGGCTGACGAAGTCCCACATGCAAACATGCCAGTTTGCAATCAGGGCAACAGCCGGCTTGTAACTCAATGTTGAAATCTTACGTACCGAAAGCCCGCGAAGCCGCACGCAGATCCTTGTGTTTCGCAGATGCGAGAAAACACTGCGCACCAGTGAACATCGCGAGCTGGGACGACTTGCTTCCCTCCCGGTTTTCCCCGGTGTGGCCGTTGCCAAGGTCTTGGGTGAGGGCTCCTTCGGATCTGTGCAGAAGTGTCGATACAAGGCCATTGCCAGTCCTCGCTGCGCCGCCACTGCATCCTGCGAAGCTGCAAGGACACCGGACAATGGAGAGCTGTCAAGACGATCAACAAGAAAAGAGTCAAGAATGTCGAGAGGTGGGGTCCCAAGGTGTCGGACGGGCGGGGCGTTGATAGCATACATTTTTTTGGTGTCCGACCAAGATTGCCTTGAGGTTCACGGAGGAGATGGCGATTATGAAGCTTCTAGATCATCCTAACATTGTCCGCTTGCACGAGGCTTGTTGATGCTCGGTCTTCATAATGGAATGCTAAGCTGAACTCGTGGATGACATGACTCCGCGAGACGTTCGACGACGAAAGAAATGTGTACTTGGTGTCTCCGGCTCGGTCAATGCGTGATTTTCGAAGCTGCGCCTGAAAGTTTTAGCTTGTTGCGACCGGTGAAGCTGCAGGTTGGAGCTATGTTCTGGAGGAGAGCTCTTCGATCGCATTGTTGCAGATGGGAAATTCTCTGAGCAGGCCCCGTCTCTTCAACAATTCAGCACAGCAGGCGAAAGCCTTCACTGCTCCAGGTCGCGGCGTATTGCGTGCAGCAAATGCTGCGAGCAGTAAACTACTTGCACAGCAATTGCATCATGCATTGTAGTGCCCTTACCGTGCCGCGACTTCTGTCTTCAGCAGCACTTGGAGAAGATGTGAAGCCGTCTCTAAGGCGACCTGAAGCCGGAGAACTGGCTCCTTGCAGAAACCGATCTTTGGCTCGAATCCGACGCCGCTTTGGGATTGGTTTCGACTTGGGACGGTGAAGTGCCAAGGAAGCCATCCAGAACACGCATCTGAAGGCAAGAAAATGCGCTTTGATGTTCCGAGTCGGTGGGCAGGCCGTTTCGATCACATGTGTCGAGCTCGACTTTCTAACGACCCTCGTCCTTGCTGGCGAGATCCGTAATAACCCTCTGCTAGGCAGCTTCTGATTGCTGCGAAAACAAGTCAACACCTCTTGCTCCGTCTTAGAGGAAATAAGAGCACGCATAGTAACCACGTTGGTGGATTGCGTGAGGAGCAGCTGAAAACCATACGAATGCTTCAGTTCAGAGCTGCGCTGCCCTCCTCTGGGTGAGCCGTATGATTTTGCGGGCGCTTTTTTCCGAGTTGCTCCTCATGGTCGTTTTGGGCTCACTGTCTGAACTGTCCGAAAGGGCTCAGCCTTTCCTCCCAGGCTCATCTTGACTTCTTGTCATATTTTGACCGCAGGCAGTGTCCCCGCCCATTCCTGTTTTCAGCAGACTTACCTTCCCATTACTTTTATCCAGTCATTCGCATTCTTCTGATGATTCTTGCCCTTCACACTGTCACTTCGCTTGTGATTATCTCCTTTCTATGTTTTTCCCCACTTCTTTGTGTGGGTTCTTACTTTTCTGCTTGGCGTCCGCCCGC